CATTTGATGCAATACATCTACTGAGACTTTTTCCCACTGCTCAGAAGTTTTAACTCATTGATTTTGATGCCTTTTAGCACTTCTGCTGTTTTTTGTTTCACCTCTTCCACATTGGCAAAGTTTCCGTTTAAGGACTTCTTTCATCAGAGAAACAAACAAAAAAAAAAGTCGCTTGGGGCAAGATCAGGTGAATAGTGAGGGTGGGGCTTGGGCATCATGCCATTTATGGTCAAAAACGGCTCAATGCTCAGCAACGTGGGCAGATGTGCTCATAAATCACCCATCATTAAATGGGCAAATGCTTTGAGAGTCTTCCAACAACAAGAAAATCATCACTGAAGCCCAGCGCAGCTTCTCACGACGACAGCTGGTGCACTGAGACAAGATGGGTTCCTAGAACACTCACCTACTGGGCGAAGCCTATACTACAAGGGGCCCACCATCCAGAAGATAATTCTGTTTTTTTGGGGGGGTCCCCCCTCATATTTTATACACATTGGAAAGAAAGGAAAGCTATTCAGTAAGGAATTAATATTCGTTGAGAATCTTCCTGTGATACTCTGCTGCATCTGAGAACAGACCTCACCCAATCTGGCCACAGGGATAGGCATGAGACCGAAGCTGAGCCAAATTCACCGCTGGTTTTCTTGACCACAGGGACTGGCCTAAAGAATGGTAATCAGTTAATATAAATCACTGAGTCCTTCCCCCGGATTTTCAAAACTGAGGTTGGAAGACCCAGCTTTCCCTGCTGGTTATGGATTGGTTAGGATATGTGTCCAGAGCTGCCCATAGCCATGTCCCCTGCTGTGAGAAGTAGCCATGGTGTTTGGGGGTCTCTACTCCAAAAGAAATGAGTTGAGAGTTTTGAGGTTATATTGCTGGGAATCCAAATCCTTGCTTCTCTTCAAGCCCGGCTCCACCTTCATCCTTCTCCTATTGGGTGCTAACCAACATTCCCTTTTGCTTAAGCTAGTTGAAACTAAGTTTCTGTCACCTGCAACAAAATATATCCCATTTATGTAGCTCTAGCTCCATATATCTTAAGTGCCTACTAGTTATCGCCCTCTGGATGTTCCTTGGTACTCCAAACTCCTATCTATAGCGCAATGCATCTTTCCTCTTTTGCCCACTCTGTGCACCCCATTTCCTATATATTCTCATCCTGGTCATCAAGTCAACATCTACCCAACTGTGTAAGCCAGAAATACCGTTCTACTAGACTCGTCCCTTTCTATTTCATCCTCACCGCTCAAGATCGCCTCAGTTTCTAAGTGCTATTCCTTTTCTAAAATATTTCTCATACCTGCCACCCTGTCTTCTACCTTTGAGACCCTCCCAGTTTCCTCCTTTTTCCTTCCCTCTCTGTACTGAAAAGGCCAAGTCTCAGAATGCTTAGCCTATCCACTGCCTCTGTTGAATGGGGTACCCACCTAAGAGTTTCCTGTGACCCTTCTGGTCCCAAGTGATTAATTACGCCAATCAGGTCCTCTTCTATGAGGATATCGAAATCGGAGACACATAGAGGACCCTTCAGTTGTTGGGAAACAGAAGCTGAACGTAGAGAAGGTAGAGATGATGACAAGAATATAGCAACTGCTGAGTAAATAGTAAGTTGGTAAGCAGCGTATGAGTGACCCAGCCTTACTGGGTATACTGGAGGACAAAGTAATGGCTGCAGTGATAGAAACAAAAAGAGGAAGGACTCATGGACATGGACAACAGTGGGGTGACTGCAGGAGGAGGGAGGTTTAAGGGGACTAATGGTAATGGGAAAATGCAATAAAAATTAAAAACAAAAAACAAAAAAACAGAAAGAGGAACGAAATCACCATGACGGTTGGAGACAAACTCTTGCTGTTGAGGCGGCAACATGATTCCTAAATTATGTGTGCTCCAGCCTGTGTGAAGTGTCTCGGTGTCAGGTGTCAGCATATTAGTTCCTGTGAGATTTCTGTGTTCCCACAAGATTCTTCTCTAGGACCTCAACTCAAAGACACCATATAGGTTAGCTATATTGCTTCTTAACCATGTGATGCTCTGCTGTATCTCTGATTATGTGCACATACTATTCCAACTGGAACAATTCTCATCTCCCAAATATCCTTAATTTCTTCACCTGGCTACCACTTAACCATCTTTTAAAACTGAGCTTAGGCTTCTCTAAGCAGCTTTCTATAACCCAACCAGGTTAGATACTCTTCCTTTACTACAAACAAATTTAATGACACTGCATATTGGAAGTGTGTGTCTCCACAAATAGAATGTGAATTTCTTGTGAGATGCTGTTTTGTTCCCCTTAGTATTCCCAGTGCCTGACCCAGCACAAAGTGGATATTTAATGAATGCCATTCTTTTTGTTAAAGCTAAATTGCCTAGATACTTTCAATTACCAATGTTTGATAATTTTCCATTATCATCCCTCTTCCAATATATCCACTTGCATCTTGACATGTGTTATGGTACTTAAAAAGGACAATAGTATGGAATTATGGCTTTGTGCATGAGATTTCCTCAGTTTAGAATGCCCTTCTCACCGTTGTCCCCTCCCTCCCTCCAGGAATGGAAGCAGGAAGATCAGAGTTCAGAGTTAGTGCAGTAGTCTAGGCAAGAGAGGATGATGGCCTGGACTAAGGAGTGTCAGTGGAGTAGGAGGTAGTGATAAACGGTAGGGATGGAATAGTCAGTACTTGGTGGAAGAACTGGGTATGAGATGAGGGAGAGGAGTTTAACATAAATGAGTATGAGGTTTTCCGGTATGATCAACTGAAAGGTGTTTTTATTCAGCGATAGGAAAGAATGGAGGAGAAGCAAGTTAAGAGGTAACTAAACATTCCCATATTTATATAATAAGATTTCTTATCTAAATTTTGCTGATATGTGCTATATTTAGGGAATGGGAGTACTCATTTTTTTTTTTTTTTTTTTTGGTGCTGGTGTTGGGGAGGATATTTGCAGTTACTGTTTTTAAACTTACCATTTAACCATTTTAAGTGTATCATTCAGTGGCATTAAGTACATTCACATTTGTTGTATGTATAATCATGACCATTATCTACCTCTAAATTTTTTTTCATCCATCCAAACTCAAATTCCTTAACTTCTGAACAATTCCTCATTTCTCCCTTCCCCCAGCTCCTGACCTCCACCATTCTACTGTCTCTAGGAATTTAATTATTTTGGGTACTTCATAAATGTGGAATCATATAGTATTTTTCCTTTTGACACTGGTTTATATCACTTAAGATAATGTCTTCAGCTTCATCCATGTTGAAGCATATGTCAATTTCCTTCCTTTTTAAGGCTCAATATTACTCCAGTGTAGTTTATATAACATTTTATTTATCCATTCATCCTTCGATGGACACTTGGGTTGCTTCCACCTTTTGGCTATTGTTAATAATGCTGCCGTGAATCTGGGTGTACAAGTATCTGCTCAAGTCCCTGTTTTCAGTTCTTTTGGGTCTATAACCAGAAATGGAATTGCTGGATCATACGGTAACTTTATGTTTACTTTTTCTGAGGAACTACTATAGTGTTTCCATAGAAGTGACACCATTTCACATTCCCACCAGAAGTGCACAAGGGTTTCATTTCTCCATATCCTCCCTAACACTTGATATGGAAGTTTTCTTTCTTTTTTCTTTCTTTTTTTAAAAAATAAGTCACCCTAATGGGCATGAAGTTGTATCTCATTGTGGTTTTAATTGGCATTTCCCTAATCACTGGTAACGTTGAGCACTTTTCATGGTTTATTGGCCATTTGTATATCTTCTTTGGAGAAATTTCTATTCAAGTCCTTTGCCCATTTTTGAATTGGGTTGCTTGTTTTTTTGTTGTTGAGTTCACAGTTATTTTGTAATATGAGGTGGTTTCAGGAATACAACAGATCTTTAGGGCATGAGAATAAGTGTTTAGAATAGTATGGAAATACTAGGGTCTTGGGGAAAAGGGCAGAAAGAGGAGGAGGATGCCAAAGAAAGTAAAAAATTTAAAGTCTTATTTTTAGGAAAGAGTAAAGAAGTACACTCTTAGCATTCTGAGCTCATTTTAGTATTGTAGTTTGGAAACCAAATGGGTTCATTTTTTTTTATTTATTCATTTTAGAGAGAGAGAAGAACGAACAGAGAGACAGATACATTGATTTGTTGTTGCACTCATTTGTTGATTCTTATATGTACCCTGACAGGGGACTGAACCTGCAACGCTGGGGTACTGGGATAATGCTCCACCAACTGAGCTACTCGGCCAGGGCAGCCTTCTGTGTTAAATAAGCATTAGTGGCTACCCTGAGAGCCTAATCACCATTTAGCAACATTAGTCATATAAAAAATGCCCTGCTTTATAATACTCTAATTAAAAAAAATTTCGTACATAATTCATATATTTGATGACTATTTTTATACCAAAACCTAAACCTGGAAAGTAAGTTGTTTGTACCATGGATTACAGAAATAATTATTATATAATGACTTTAACTGGGAATGTAATATTTTTTAATTACCAAAAGCTGATGTGCATGAATCATTTACAGAATACCACTGTAAGAAAATAAACATTATAAAGAGCTACAGAATACATAATCATGACATAATTAATAGAAACATGAAAACAAAGCTGTTTTCTGTAGATATAGACAAGGGTTGCAGAAAATGTGAATTACATAGAAATGTGTGCTGTTACTGGAGAAGCTAGAGAAAATAATATTTTGGCCACTGGTAATAGAGAACCAATCTCTAAGAATAATATCCAGTTTAAATTACATAAATTTTATGATTTTTAAAGTAACCATTTTACTTAATCAATTGACAGTGGATAAATTTTTGGATCCTGAATTTTTGGTAAAATGTTGTAAGACTTAGGTTAGATAGAATATTCTAAATTTTAGATGAAAATGTAAATTATATACCTGAGGAAAAATATGTTATTTTAAAGTATATCAGATTATTTTCAGTGTTATATACTTATATTCTCTATAAATAATAGGTAAGAAGACATACCATTTTCTAAAAAAACAACAAAACTTCCATTACTCTGAAACTAAAGATGAGCTTTCCATTTCTTGTTAGGATCGTTGTTGCTGACTGTGGATAGAAAATTAGCAAACATTTAGCAGCAGATAAGCAAATTCACTGGATTTTATCTTCTGGCTAGAACAAACATTCATTGCTAAAATAATGTTATTGCTCGATATAAAGTTAGAATTGTGTTTGTAATTTTAAAAACACTGCTGAAGCTTCTACACAAAATTCAAGCTTTGAACCAGTTGATTTTAAGGATTAAGCTTCTATAAAGATTCTTAATTTGACAAATTAACCTAACACTAGCCTAAACAACTGCAGAATTACTGCTTTAATATTTTTGAGTTCACTACATCTAGTGCTGCTAAAACCTCTAGCTGTTCCCAAATCTTCTACATGTAAAATTCTTCGTGGTCTTGTGGTCTGGGAGAAGAAAAGCTATTTTCCACTACATGTCTTCGATTGTCATTCTGGTGGTTGAGGACTGGAACCTCCAAGCAAGATCCTAGTTCTTGTGGGAGTGTCTGGTTCCCACTTGTGGTGGTCCCTTGGACTTGCACTGACCTTTCCTAGTGCCTGTCTCTCCAGTGATATTCAAAGGAAGACTCTGATGGGTATTGTTTTTCCTAAAGAAAACTAATTCATATAAAAAAAAAAATTAAATGCTGTCAATAAAAGAACTAAAATTTCTAAGTATACTTACATATCATTCCATCTTTTTCTAATTTTTTCAAATGAAGCAAGAGATTTTGTTCAGCTATCCTATGTAAAGACTCAGGAGTATTCTAAAAGAAAAGACAGTAAAAGAAAACATTCCTTTTTTTAAAACAGAGTTAATCCTTTGAAACTTTAAAAAAGTGCAACAAACAAAATTTTAACTTAAATTCATTTTTATATAGAAAAGCCAAAATGATTTCAGTTTGTATATGTCTGCTTTAGGCACTATATTCTTATCTATATTCCTTTGGATAAAATAGAGTGTAAGCTCTGTAAAGATAGTAACGGTATGTTTTGTTCACTACTGAATACCCAATACTTAGCATAATGCCACACAGTAGAAATGCAGTATTTTACAAATGGATGAATAAATAAATGTAAACATTACTCTAGATAGCTTTCATGATGATATAGACATTGACCCTATGGTTTATTTATTAGGTTACATGGTAATAACTTTTCACATTTCCCTTGGTTATTCTACTTCTTTTATCATTTAGTTTTCACCTTGAATACTCTTCCTCGGACTTCTCTTAAACATTAATGTTTACAGTGCATTGTATCACTGACTCTCTTCTGTTTTTACTCACCCAATTTGCCACAGCAATATCATGCATTAATGATTCCCAGATATGAACCCCTGACCCTAAACTCTCCCTTAAGCTCCAGTACCATATACTCTCTCCACCAGTGTGATCTTCTAGATCACATTACAGGACTTTCCTAAGACCTTTGAGTGGTGGGTCATTCCCAGGTATTGGCTAAAGCTCAAATTTGTTAGCTTGACAATCAAGGCTTCCCATGATCTGATCACACCTGCCTATCCTGGCTCATTTCCTGTTATTAGAATAGGAAAAAACCCCAATGTACCAATGAATAGTCTAGAGTGACTCGACTCTAGTGTTATGAGGAAATGAACTCTTTCACAGAATTTACTATATCCTTTTGCTAATGGAACTTTTATCTTTAGCCATTTTAACCCTTCAGCCTTCCCTTTTCTTTGTTTATTTTTTTAAATCATCTTTACCTTTTAAGATAAGTACACTGAGTATGATCTGACTATTTTCTGATACTTGGGTCTATGGGATATTAAAGGTCCTGTACGAATTCTCATTGGCCCTAGGTACCTTTTCAAGCTCATCTTTAGTTACGCTCTCATGTATTTTCTGGCTGTACAGGTTGTGGTAGTGGGGTATTTAAACCCATTTAATCTAATACCAGAGCCTACATTCTTAATCTCTAAGCTATACGGCCTGCATAGCAGGTACCTAGTAAACATTCAGCAAAAAACTGAATTAAACTAATTGACCACTATATAGTGTTGGCATATAATGATGTGCTCAGAGGCCATTGAGCTGAGGGTTTCTCTCTATACACTCGATTTCTCTACTCATGTTCTTTTCCACATCTTTTCTCTGTTGTCAGGCATTGTTGCTACTGCTCATTGCTATTATCCTAGTTATCTAACAGATCATCTCTTCTCACTTGCCACCAGCTAGGACACCAGATAATCAAGATGGTTAGAGTAATACGTAAGTCATTAGAAATCTTGATCATCAGGCAGTTGGGAATGGTCTCTTCTACAGAATATAAGTATATGGTTTAATGATGGCTCTGAATGGTTATTTTTGGTTTTCCGGGCCAGGTATTCTTTAACTTTTGTGTTCTAGAAAGTTGAGGTTGCTGGTCTCAAATCTATACAAGTAGCATTATTTATAAAATTAACAGTGTTCTGGGAGGTGATAAGCTTATCATATCTATAGCTTAGCAAACAGATTATTCTAATAAAATTGTGGCTATGTACAAATAAGCTAAACAAAAAATACCTTGTAAATAATTTTTACAAGCTCCATTACTGTAAATGATTTTTCAAAATTGTCATGAAATATTGTAAGAATTTGCTTTTCTCGAGTGTTTCTGTGAGAAATGTATTCTTGAATTTTAGCTTCAGCGTTATGGATGACTGGGCCATGTCCTGAATTAAAACAATTACAAAAATTATTTCAATCAGATAAAAATATTAAGTATAACTGAAGTTAATTCACTCTGAAAATAATCCATACGATATATTGAAACAGCATACTAAATATACAACAAATAAGAATTATTTGGAAAACTACAAAACATTACACAGGTATGATACAAAACATTAGACAGTTATATCAAAATCTATACAAAATACTATTGTATACATTAAAAGGTATAAAATAAAAATATAGCAGTAATAACACGAATCACAACGGTAATGATAGGTAATAGTTATAGAGCACTTATTATTTGCCAGGCACTGGTCTAAATGCTACACATTCTTCTTATAGGAATCCCAAGAGGTAGGTACTATTATCCCTTTTTAGAAGCAGGAACTGAGGCACAAGTAGGGTAAATAACCTGCACACAGTATCAAAGCTCAAGAGTGTGGCTGGGATTCTGACTTGGGAGCTTTTAATGACTTTAGGCTCTTTCCACTTTGCAACACTTATATAAAAGATTGAAAAAGGGAATGTAAAAGTAGCTTCATGTAAGCGACCAAGAGCTATTAAAAATTCACAGGAACCACAGCAGAACTTGAAAAATCTTATGTATAGGCTTATAATTCAGAAATGTGGACAACCCAGATAAAGTTGTATTAAAATTTACATGTCCTTTAACATAGTGCAAATTAATATATAACACAAGTTTGCCAGAGGGATGTTTAAAATATTTGAGGACAAAAATATCCAGAAGCAGGCTAACCTATTATCATGTAACAAGCATGGGCTTTGGTTAGAATACCGACCATCATTTACGAGCACAAAGGTCTCTGAACTGCTTCTTTGCTATGCATGAGGACACCACTGCCTTCTGCACTGGCTTTCTGTGAGGACACAGCTAGCTGGCTGTAAAGGTCCCTGCAGGTACCTGATGGGTAGCAGGCTTTAATATATGGTAGCCATGGCTACAGAACATAATTTACATATAAGCTCCTGCTGTGCTAATAAGCCAGGTCATGGGATTCACCAAAGCTAACACTCTTAAGAGCCTTTAGTAGGCAGCCTCTTATTAGCATTGCTTGAATGTGAGTGCATTAAATGTCTATTCTCTTTGCTTTAAAAATAGCTGTCAGTTTCCATTCCTGTTATATTATAATATTAATCCACATGCCCAGGGTATGTTTCCTACCCCCTCAGAAGTAGAAACTCATGAGAGAATATGAGGGTACTGAAGATACTGTATTTACAGATCTTTCCATAACTCTTTGGTTAGGCACAAGTTAGAAGGACTTCAAAAATTAGTAACCTAGTCTCTTTTCCCTTCCGGGCCCTATTGTTGGGTCTAGTATGTTTCTTAGCTTTCATGATGGAGGGGAGATTCATATTGCAGAGTAGCGCAGTGATAGCTGAGATACTAACAACAGGCTTCTTCTGGAGAATCAAAATAAATACAGGACTTTACAGTTCATACAGAAGCTACTGATAATTGAATAGTGTGAGTTAAAACAACTAAAGCTCAGAGGTCAAATGCTATCCATGGTTACATAGCTAAAATGTGGTCCATGACAGAAATCAAGTTAACAAAGTTGAAGATAGCTTATGGGATGAAAAAATATTCTTGTTTCAATGTAAGTTATTTCAGTTGTTTAATAGTTCTACTAATAGCTGTTTAACTGTTAAAAAAAATAACCCTTTTATAAGGAGTTATTACTGTAACTGTTGGCCTTTTAAAAAATTGCATGGCTAGACAGGACTTAGGAGTGGCATTTAAAGAAGCAGTTTACAGGTTTCTCTTTAAGGCTAAAAACACAAAGAACACACACACGCACAAACCAAAATGAACCTTCCTCATTTGACACAAATGGTTTACTAGATTTAAAAAATTACTCACCTGGATATATAATACCAGCTTTGATTTTCAGTAACTTTTTTAGGGAGTTCATGTAATCATAGAGGTCCTCAAATACAGTTGTTCCTTCCCCTAGGATGCAATCTCCAGAAAAGAGAGCATTTTCTTCCTCTAAAAGTAGAGCCATATGATCATCGGTGTGGCCAGGTGTGTATATAACTCTGGGCAAAAGAAGAAATAAAAGCAATTATGAGCTTTTAAGCTTAGGAGCAATCTTGAGAAGCAAATTATTCTCTATCCTTACTTCTGGACAAGACACAAATAATGTCACTGAGTTAAAAAGCTCCTTTTTCTCTTGTCCATTGAAAATTATCACCAGAAATTTCTCTCCTTTAACAAAATCAAATTTCTCATTCTGAAGTGCAAGTTTAATACTTTTCTCGCTTTTTTCTTATAAGTAATAAACACTGATTACAACAAATTTGGAAAACAGAAAAGTACTTAACGTAGATAAAAATCACCAATCTTTCCACTATTTAGAGATAGTGCTTGTATTTTTTAAAAAAGATTTTATTTATTTACCTTTACAGAGAGGGGAAGGGAAGGCAAACAGAGAGGGAGAAAAACATCGATGTGTGGCTGCCTCTCATGTGTCCCCTACCAGGGACCGAGTCTACAACCCAGGCATGAGCCCCAACCAGGAATCGAACCAGCGACACTTCAGTTCACAGGGTGGCACCCAATCCACTGAGTCATACCAGCCAGGGCGTGGTACTTGTATTTTTTAAGAACATAGATTTTTTTCAATTTTCTTTGCATGTCAGGAAGTACATTTGATAACACATTTTATGGCAATACTATACCAAAAAAGCACTTTCATATGTTGCTGGTGAGGTAAGCAAAAGGGTATAACCCATAAAGAGGGGAATTTGACATTTTCTAGCAAAAGAGCACCCTTTGACCCATCAATCCCACTGCTAGAAATTTACCCCCAAAATACACGTTCACATACACAAATAATGCGTATGTTATCCAATACATTATTGGCAGTAACAAACATTAGGGATAACCCAATGCTGACCCATAGGGCACTCTGGATAAATGGTGGTATATCCACACAGTGAAACACTATACAACCATCAAAAAGAATGAGGAAGATCTCTATGAATTGATGTACAGAGTAATTTGGATATACTGTCAAATGATAAAAAGCAAAACACCCAAGAGTGTACATAGTGTGCTCTTTTATATATAAAAGACGGGGAAAGTAAAACATACATGTATCTATTTTATTTTGCAAAAAAGAAAGTCAGGATAAATAAAAAACTAATAAACACAGCTGCTTATAGCAGGTAGATAAGTGGGGTGTAGGGAGTAGAGGTGCATGTAAGACTTCTCTCATTAGAACTTTTTTAGTAGTTTTAACTTTTAAGCTATGTAAATTTTTTATATATTCTAAACAAATTAAAGAGATAAAAAAATCTTAACACTGAATACAGAAAGAAGTAAATCTTACTGTACACTAGATAACAATGCCGCAGTAAAAGAATGAATTAATTCAAGTAAGTTTTAAATATAATACTAAGACTGCACATTCTTTATGGAATGTATTTTATCTTAAGATCAAAAGAATTGCAAAGATATCTTGAACCTTACTTAATAGGTTTAACTTTGGCAGTGTTATTAGTTATTGTTTCTGAAACTATTTTGTGTTTATTATATGCTAGTTTAAGCAAGTAAATAAACTGATGTCAAAAACCAAGTTTTTGTTTGTGAGATAAGGAAAAAATATGTATAATCAGGGAATTAAATTTTGGGTTGTTTCTTATTTGAATTGAGGAATCATGAATTCAAAAGTGTTTTTCTAGCTTTGTCTATAAAAAGCCCCAGAAGCGACGATACTCCAGTAGCAATGAGTACGACTCACACTCAGTTCTTTGTTTCTAAATACCACTTCCCACTCAAAGAGACCAGGGTTTCCTACCGATATGCTGGCTCCAGGTTGGGGCAGGGAAAATAGATTGTGGTATTGAGAGACCCTGTGTCAGACAGCAAGAAGGTGCTGATAGATTAGGGGAACTATGCCAAAAGGACAAAGAAGCAGTGAATAAAAAATTATAAGTCTGTAGTAATACTCAAAAAAGAGGAAGGGATGGAATCTCTTCTTTAACAAGAATGTAAGCAAATAAAGAAAAAAAAAAAAAACCCAGGAAGTAGAAAAAATAGAATAAGAAAATTCACAATTATGCCACCTTCAATATATTAATTGATTAAGGCAAGTATCATTAATAGACGCTAAAATCACTGGATGAAAGATTGTTGGAAAGCAGCACATAACCTAAAGTTATTTACAGTGAGCTTAACTCACAAGACCATATTACTAATAAGCAACAATGAATCTCCACTAAAAAGGCATGTAAATGTCATTATCAAATAAAGGCTCAGTATTCTCACTGGATAACTCTACCAAACATTTAAGTCAGAGGACTTCACTACCACTTAGCCTATCCCAGAGCATACAAAAAGAAGGAAAACTTACAAATCCCAAATCTGACAAAGGCCGCACAAAAAGAAAACTACCGCCTGATCCCACTAACGAATATTGTTATGAAAATCTTAACTAAAATTTTAACAAACAGAATCCAAAAGCATATTTACAAGTAACAACATCATGACCAAATAAAGTTTATTCCAAAAATGCAAGTGTGTTTTAATATTATGAGATCCCTGCAAATCACAATAAAGCTATGGAGAAAACTGGTAAGATCATTCTGACATTGCAAAGACATCTGACAAAATTCAGCTCTTAAAAAAAACAGAAAATACATTTCAGTATTTAAGAAAACTGAAACGACTGTAACTTAGAAGACTTTCTCATTTGCCAAAAAATCCAATCAAATCCTCAATGCTAAATATTGAAATTGTAAAGCCTTTTTAAAGAATCTGCTAAAGATGAAGAGATATAAGTTATAAGAACATGAGATACTTGTGTAATGGGAGCAATTATTTTCGACAGGCATTAAGAACTGACTTTAGGTACTACTATGCTTTTATAGTCTCCAAGTATATGCTTTACACATTGCAAATGATTACTATATTTAGTAATGGTGAGGTATTAAAGAGATGTTAGAAATAATCTCTTTTGTTTGATTAAACCTGCTGCAACCTGAAGGTATTCCATGTTATATTAAAACAATTTCAGGAGGTGTATTTCCAGCGACTATAAAAATACGTGGTGCGGGTGTCTGTCCTACCTTGTGAACAGTCACACACAGAATGTGCTTACAAACGGAACCTCAATCTTTTTTTTTTTAAATATACAAAAACTCATTTGAAGAACCATTCTTTCAGAGTCTGCAACCTCTCTCACCCACCCATGTGCGTGCAATTCCTCCTTAATTATTTTCCTCCCACTCCCTATGCCCTATCCTGAAAACCATTCAGTAATGGTTTTCCTCGATATTTTCTAGGCTGAAAGCAGTTAAGATTTCTTAAATTAGGGGATCAGTATTTCCAATCCTCCAGTCACCTGGGTGGCTAATGGTTTAATCTGCATAAAAACTGTGTTAAAATTCACTTCACGGCTGCAGGAGGAGAAAAGGAAATGACACGAGAAGTGCTTTGCTGAAGAGCAGAGGAACTGCAGCTGTGGCCTCTCATTCATCAGGTAGAGCATTTATCTGCTTCTGCCGCTTCTGTGGCACAGTAGACTTTATACAAGAATGGCTCTCTCAGAAATTTAGAACAGTCAACAAAAGATGTCAGATTAACCTTGAGAAATTAAACTTAGTTTTCACTAGAAAATTCCTGAGGGTTACGACCAGAATCCTTACTGAAAATCTTGCTAACTTTCTATTTTTCACTAATGGGTTCTTGGTGGGTTTTATATCTATCTCCATTGTGGTTTTTTTTTCCCCCCCAAACTGGCAAGTAGACAAGATCCATTAGACATCACTTATTTGGGACTTCAGTAAATTTTGCTTAACGAGTCTTTTTGTTAATATTTAAAATTGCATTTTACTGATGATAAAAATGGAAATTGGAAACGACGTCAACAGTAAATTAAATATTTTATTCAGATTGTAGCATAATTAGAATATGCATTTTGAGAAAAGATTTACTAAGTCATTTAAAAAAACTGTCTGCTTTGTTAGTTTTTCTCTTAAATCTTAAAATAGATTCCCATACTTAATAAGAATACAGTAAAACAAAAATTAAATGGAGTTCACGTAATATTGAGATCCTTGGCGCCAATTCACTCCATGAAACGAGAGTGTATCCAACTGAGGGGGGCGGAGGTAGGGACAGGAAGCAAGTAAGTATGTGGCAGCTTTGGGTTACTGCTGTTTCTAGATCTGCAGGCTGCTCATATGGTTTGTTCAGTTTGTAACAATTCACTGCCTCGCACCCAGATGATAGGTACATTTTTGTTTTTATACTTTAAAAGCTTAAAAATATGTGGTCTGTTCATGGCAGATGGATGGTTGACTTCTAAGGGCTGAAAAGCCTTAATCTGTACATTAGGTATAGATCTAATACCATGCTTCTGTGGTAACTGATAAACCAATACCGTGGTTCCCAACCTCTGAGACTGAAGACTCGATGAACCACCTCCTGTCTCTACCCCTTTCTGTAACTTGGCCTAGAGCTGGTGTGTGATTGGGGACATTCAGTATTGCCAAGCATACTTTTTTGAGAAGTAGTAATGTAATGTTTGGTTTTCTGTGGTATCATCAGCAAGTTATGCAAGAGATGATCATATTTTGAACAAAACCATTTAAAAAATTAGTTGGTTGGTGAATTAAATTTTAGGAATCACTGGCATAGCAGAAATAGAGGACACTGGTTTGAAAGGGGGCATGGATACCCATTACTTCATTTCCTCTCTCATTCACCTGTTAATCTACTTGCCTCTTTGTAGACATTTACCACATGTATGATGAATATTCACTGCCTTCTGTGTGTCAGGGACTGAAGATTTGAAGAGGAATCTCGTATCTGCCCATGTCAGAGAACGGCTAGCTTATCGTCAAACCGATTTTCTTTTTCCTGGGCATGAAGTTGAACTACATTTCCTGGCCTCCCCGCAGTCAGGAACGGCACACGACTGAACGGACGGCCAATGCAACAGAAAGCCTGGCCCATTAAAACCTCTCATATTTGAGCCGTTAGACAGTTCTGGGGTGGTTTGCTATGGCAACTGACATTATCTAATGTTGTGAACCTAGGGAATTGATTATCTTTTAAGGAGACACCTTCTTACACACCGAAATATCTGTAATTTAATAAGTGCTATAATGAAATTACAAGAATAATATAAAAGTTGAAGGAAGCAGTAATTTGCCCAGAAGGGGTTCCTGCAGTAACATGTGAACTGAGGTTTGAAGAATAAATAGATAATAATTTATCATGGAGACAAGTAGTGGGGAAGAGGTGGGGCCTACTAAGGGGGAGGGTATGAGCAAAGGCACGAGCGGACAGAATATGCTCAGGAGTATGTGGATATGGCTAATTGCATTTGCGAGGGGAGTGGCAGGAGCTCAGACCAGAAAGGTGGTTTGGGGCCAGGCTGTGGTAAGGAGAATAATCATTATCTTGTTCGCACTACGTTATTCAAGGTTTCAAGTGACAGAGCATACAAAGCGTAGGTTGGAAAGTGGCGAGCCTGGAGGCAGGAATATTACCAAGAAGTGGTGGTAGTGGACATGAAGAAAAAGGGATAGCAGTGACAAATATCTTTCAGGTAGAAACTGACCTGATTATACGTGGTGGGCAAGGGGAGGGAAAGTGATGAAGCTGAATAGGAGTCAGCTTCTGTCTTAGAATAAAAAAATAAATCTTAAGTACTGACAGAAGTAGATGTTCTGAAATCAGAAAGCCAGGCTTAATCATGGGGGAGAGAGGAGAATCATAATTAGTTCAATTTTGAAATTACTAAGTTTGAAACACATTTTTGAATCCCTAAATAGGCCACAGGGATTATGGGCCTGGAATAAAATGTATTTACTTTAGGTATGGATCATCTCTTGGAAGTGAGAACATGAGAAGGCCCTAAATTTCCTAGCAGGAGATGATCATCTATTTTTTAATTTAAGTTTTACTCATTAAATAATGGTAATCGTATAATTTAAACAAATAATTTTAAAAGGTAAGATAGGAGAATCTTTCTTTTTCCTCACTTCTCAAGCAAACCATTCTCTTTTCCCAGAGTAACCCCCATTATCAGATTTCTTACATCCTTCCTGAGACAGTTTTCACTCATACAAGCAGATATGCGGAAATCTTCCCTTTCCTCCTTTTTATAACACATACACACAGATTCCCCCCTTGCCCCGTGCCTTCCCGAGCCACAGGCCATTTACGTACCTCAGAGTGGCACCCTCAGTCTTAATCACATCTCCATCTTTTACATAAACATAGCGCTGCTCTCCATCTCCGATAACTTCTTCTCTCTGAGGATTCCGTGGGAGTTTTTTAATGCAGTATGTGGTGTCTAGTGACAAAACATGTAAAATATTTAGGTCACACTTTACGTGCTAATTCAGGCTTTTAAGAGACCAATTTTCACAGAACGCTTGTGAGTAACTGCGAAAAATATTAACATTAAGAGACAACGGAAAATGGGATGAATTATAGCAGCATGTCTCTGGGATGGTAACTATTTCTTCTACCTCAACGAAGGAGCTTTTTACTCTCTAATGCCCTTCTAAGTCTACATAAAAGCCTTTGTGTTTTTCTAGTCACTCCTATTTTATACAATAATTTGAAAGTTCTTCATAATCTTAGCTTTGATACCAAGATGGGTGTTAAAGAGGGAGTAATACAGAACGTAGCAACTTCTCTCTGTCTAGGTGCCTAACACGTAAAAGAAGTCATGACATCATGGCAGTAGTTAATAATAAAAGGGTGCTAATACACAGTCCTTTCTGGGAACGCTAAGAGTCCGTCCCAAACCTAGGGCTAAGATGTTAAAACATTGTAATAAACTGAACCCATACTACCTGTCATCAACACAAAAAAATCAATTAATCACCCAATCAATAGCTGATTGCCAATTATTTAACCAGTATAGTGAACACAAGCACCATGACATCGAAACGCATTAATAGTCATAGCTGGGGAAGTAAAACTTACAAGCAGAAAATAATTAAAGAGCTATACTCAGCACCATTAAATGAATACTAAGTGGACAATTCAGCCAATAAAAGCAAAATGAGTTTAGAGAAAGGAGAAACAATTAGGAAGTGATGCATAAATACAGGACAACTTAAGGTGTGGCTTACAGGATGAGCATAGGAAAAAGGTTCAGAGAAGTAAGGGGGGCAGCATTAAAAAAGTCACAGAAACAAGGATGAACATGGTATATGTGCACAGCCAGAATGCTGCCAATTTGTCTAACACAAAATACTGGCTGGGAGGAGTAGAGATAAAGTGGGATTAGTGAGCTCAGATCCTTGTTGTAACTTAAACTGTAAGTGGGTGTTGGGGATGGAGGGGAATCACTGTAGAGGGTCACACAAAGGGACCTCTTTTTGGGTGAGTGTTCTTTACCTTGATTGGATTAGTCACATAGGTTTATAACTATACACTTAAAATGGGTACATTTTATGTATGTAAATTCAAGCTCAATAAAGTTGATTTATGAAGGAGAAAAAGTGGTCCATGAACAAAGTTTTAAGTTTTCAAATTGACCCTCAGGCTAAAAGAGTTGACCAAAGATAATTAACAACACTTGGCATAGTTTTTATGCCAAGTCAGAATGGGAGAGAATGACTTCCTGTGGCATTCAGTCCCCTTGGATTGGAAGAAAGGAGGTAACAGGGTAAGAACGTTAGGTTAGACTACTTTTTATAATGAGCAGCCTGGTGTTCTTGACTGCTGTAGCTGAGAATATCCTTCTGTTCCAATTATAGTCTTAAGGCCTAAAAAGAAGATACTTAAAAATATTAGTTGTGAATGAACGTTCTTTACCTCCTTGTCCTTTATGTGCCTTGAACATGTCAAGCACACCCCTATTTTAGTACCTACTCTTACAATGCCCTTTGCCTGGTATTCTCTCCTCTGACACCTTTATAGCTTATTCCTTCTCCCTGGGCACCCTAAGTATAATAGCTACTGCTCTCTTTCACTTTATATTCTCTCTCCTCTTTTTCTTTCCTTAGCTTTATTTTTCTTTATAGCACCCATCACCCATCTGACCTATTATATTTACCACTTACTTTCCCTACTAGAATGAAAGCCCCATGAGGGCAGAGTCTTTATTTGCCGCTACATCCCTTGTGCCAAGATCAGTGCGTGGAAGTAGCAGCATCTTGATTATTTGTTAAAGGAATAAATGAATGAATCTATGCGTGATGGTGGGATGAGGAAAAAAGGAGGGAGATGGTAAAGCACTAGTACCGAATAGGTTTCAGGAACAAAGGATTATCAATACAATGATCTTTCATTAGCATTTAGTATATCGGAGTCACTGCCTTACAGTTATGGGAGGCCTGAGACAATGTTTAGAACGGAGATAGTAACAGCCACTACCTCAGATGCCCCTGTAAAGTGTATAGCCCAGTGTCTGGCATATAGTGAATCCTCAACAGTGGTTAGTTATTAAGAAATTTGAAGTAGTAATTATCACACAGACTAAATTAAAAACTGAAATGTATTCTGTTTACCATTCTCAATGTTTTTACAAATATTTTCTATGCCTCCAGAATGATCACGATGCCAGTGAGTCACTACGATTTCCTGGATTGCTGTGTTAAATTCGTTCAGAGCCTGCTTTAAACAGGTGATATATTCTGGAACTGCTGGTTCTCCAGTGTCAAGGAGGATTCTCCTGAAAGTTAAATGGAAGATAATCACACAAGTGGAACAGTTAATATTAGCATATTTCTCACAGATACTGCATAAATTGCTTTGCTTTCAAATCCAGGTGTTATTTCATCTTAACCACAGTAATCTCACTTTAAGAAACTTCTGATAGCTAAAAGTAAGTCTGAATAAGGAATAATAGCAATAATATTGAACACTTACCTAGCACTTAAATATAGCACTGTTCCAAAACATAACTTTAACAATTTTATTCCTCATAACAACTATTTCAGGTAGGTATTTCGTTATTATATGTGTATGTAGAAATCAAGTAAATTGCCCAAGGTTACTCTGCAAATAAATGGCAGAACCAGTATTCAAACCCAGGTATTCTGGTGCCAAAATATATGCTTTTATATACTCTGCCTTCACAATTCTTTTATAGTATCCTCAAATGTGTCGGAGACATGAAAGAATCTGATTCAGTGGAAGCCCTAAAGATACCTAGTCTTCTGCACTACATACAAAACTTACCCCTGAAGCTTTACATTAGCTCCCTTACACATGAAAATGAAAGCAGGAGAAAAGCATGGGGGAAATGTCTAAGCTAATTTATTTCTTTATTTATATAACTCTGTTAGTTATTACTTTTCCGCTTATGGTTCTGAACCTTCGTATACGTCTCTATGAAGTTTTCCAGAACTATAAGAAATAAGGGTGCCCTGGCTGGATGGTTCAGTCGATTGGAGCATTGCCCCATACATCAAAAAGGCTGCAGGTTCAATTCCTGGTCAGGGCACATATCTAGGTTGTGGGTTCATTATCTGGACGGGGTAGGTAGGGGATGCAACTCATCGATGTTTCTCTCTCTGAAGTCAATAAACATATATCCCTGGTTGGGGATTAGAAAAGAAGAAATAAGGGTGATATTTCTTCCTCAAGAACCAATTGGTAAACCTCGTAATTCAAGTTGTTTCATAGTAACACCTCCCTAATTCAGGCTAGAGGAGAGATGATTAGTCTTGAGAAAAAGGCTGAATCATTCAATAATTTATAATTCATCAATAACTGTTCCTAACTATCTATTGTATGACACACTCTTCTTACAAGACACAAGCCTTACTTACATTCAGGTGGAAGGTGGGATGGGGGAACTGTGAAAACAAACAGTAACAGTGAAGGGTAACAGAAAGCATTTTGCAGACCATTAAAATGGGAGTAAATGACAGGAAGTAACTGGATGGCTATTTTACATTGGATGGTTTGTTTCTCTGACCCCATTCCCTTAGACCCAACAGAGAGAACCAACTGATGCTTATCTCTGTCAGGGGAGGAGGGCAGTGGCTTTTCACTCCACTGGCTTCTATCTACATCATTAGTTCTGTAGAGCTGTGGCTCTACCTCACAAGTACAGTGTTATAACTGTCCCTTCTAGAGACAAGGAAACTAGATGATTACACTGGCCCAAGGGTGATCTTGCTGGCAGTGGAAATGCAAGGAAGAGATGATGTATTTATTTATTTTTAATAGCAAGGTTTTTATTTTTAAGGTTTTATTTACTTTTAGACAGAGAAGGGAGGGAAAAAGGGAGAGAAACATCAATGTGTGATTCCCTCTCACATGCCCCCTTACTGGGGACCTGGCCTGCAACCTAGGCATGTGCCCTGACTGGGGATTGAACTGGTGACCCTTAGGTCCGCAGACTGGCACTCAGTCAACTGAGCCACACCAGCCAGGGCATGAAGAGATAATTTAAAGAACATTTATGAAGTAAGTACATACCTATCAGTAATCAGTTTAAAAGTAAATGCTCCAATCAAAAGACATGGGGTGGCTAAACGGACAAAAAAATCAAGACCCACATATATACTGCCTATAAGAGACTCACCTCATATCTAAAGACACACACAGACTGAAAGTTAGGGAATGGGAAAAACATTCCATGCAGATAGAAATAAAAAGAATGCTGGGGTAGCAATACTTACATTAGACAAAATGAAACTAAGACAGAAACAAGAGACTGAGAAAGGCCTTACATAATAATAAAGGGATCAAGCCAGTAAGAGGATATAACACTTGTAAATACCTATATAACCAATAGAGAAGCAACTTAATACATAAAGTAAATATTAACAGACATAGCCCTGTCTGCTGTGGTTCAGTTGGCTGCGTGTTGTCTCACAAAGTGAAAGATCTCAGGGTTTAATTCCTGGTCAGGGCGCATGCCTGGGTTGTGGGTTCGGTCCCTGATGAGGGCCCTTGCGAGAGAACCAACTGATGCTTCTCTCTCACACTGATGTTTCTCTCCCTTTCTCCCTCCCTTTCCCCTCTCCCTAAAATAAAATAAAAAACTGAAATTCTGCTGTTTAGAAAATATATATACTTCCATTTGAATAAAGAAAATATCACATTATACCAGTTAGAATAATAGAGAACATTCCATCTAAAACTGCAGAATACCCATTCTTTTCAAGTGCACATGAATCATCTCCAGGTTAGATTACATGTTAGATCATAAAGCAAGTCTAAACAAATTTAAGACTGAAATTATATCAAACATCTTTTCTGACAACAATATAAAACTAGAAATTTTAAGAAGAAAACTGAAAAAAAGACAAACACTTGGAGGCTAAACAATGTGCAACTAAAAAAGCAGTATGTCAAGGAAGAAATCAAAGAAGGAAAAAAATACATTGAGACACATAAAATAGAAACACAAGGTTCCAAAATATGTGGGATGCAGCAAAAGCAATTCTAAATGGGAAGTTTATAGTGATACAGGCCTACCTCAAGAAACAAGAAAAATCCTAAATAAACAACTTATCTTTACTTCTAAAGGAACTAGAAAAAGAAGAACAAAACCCAAAGTAAGTAAAAGGAAGGAAATAATAAAGATCAGAGTAGAAATAAATGAAATAGAAACTAAAATAAAATAATAGAAGATCAAGGAAACTAAGAGTTGGTTCTTTGGAAGACAAACAAAACTGATAAATCTTCAGCCAGATTCCCCAAGAAAAAGAGAGGGGCCAGACAAATAAAATCAGAAATGAAAGAGAAGAAATAAAAACAGACACCTCAGAAACACAAAGAATCATATTGTTATGAACATTATACAGCAACAAATTCAATATCCTAAAGAAACTGACACATTTCGAGAGCCAAAAAATGTTCTAAGACTGATTCAGAAAATACAGAAAATCTCAACAGACTAATTATTAGCAATGAAATTAAATCAGTAATCTAAAAACTCCCAAAAAGCCAAAGTCCAGGAGCAGAAGCTTTCACGGGTGAATGCTGCCAAACATTTAAAGACAAGTTGATATCTATTCTTCTCACAGTATTCCAAAAACCTGAAGAGGAAGGAATACTTCTAAAGGCATTCTATGAGGCCAGCATTACCCTTATACCCAAAACAGAAAAAGACGATATAAAAAAAAGATAATTATTGGCCGCTATCCCTGATGAACTTAGATGCAAAAATCCTCACCAATATATTAGAAAATCAAATTCTACAATACATTAAAAGGATCGTACACCATGATCAAGAGGGATTTATTCCAGAGAGGAAAGGCTAGTTCAACATCCATAAATGAACTAATATGATACACATTTACAGAATGAAGGATAAAAATCGTATGATCTCAACAGATACAGAAATAGCACTTGATGAAATTAAACATCCATTTATGATAAAAATTTTCAACGAGGTGGGTAAAGGAAACATACCTTATCATAATACTAGCCATATATGACAAATCCACATACTCATTGCTGAAGAACTGAAGGCTTTTCCTCTCAGATCAGGAACAAGGCAAGGATGCCCATTCGCATTATTATTTTTCCAACATAGTTTGGGAAATCCAAGACCTTGCAATCAGAACAACAACAAAAACAACAACAACAACAAAACAAAAAAAAGAAAAGAAAGGCATCCAAACTGGAAAGGAAGAAGTAAAACAGTCCCTATTTGCTGATGACATGATATCATTTATAAAAAACTCTAAAGACTCCACCAAAAAACCATTAGAACTAATAAATAAAGTCAGCAAAGTTGCAGGACACAAAATTATTATACAGAAATCTGTTGCATTCCTAAACAATCACCATGAACTACCAGAAAGAGAAATTACATTCTGGCCAAGATGGACGCATAGGTAGACATGCTTTGCCTCCTCACACAATCATCAGAAGGAAAACAATTAACCTCAGAACAAAACTGCCAGAACACTGAACTGTATGGAAGTCTGACAATCAAGGATTTAAAAAGAAATATTCATCTAGACAGGTAGGAGGGGCGGAGATGGGGAGCCAGGATGTAGAGGATGTGGGGTGGCAGAGCAGGACAGTGGCATGATGTGTCGCCCTACATTCACATGTGGCAGACAATAACTAGGAGGGACAAGCAATCCCAGCCGCAGGCCAGACCATGCAGCCAAGGGTTCCAGGGCTGGGAGGATAAAGCCCCATAACTTCTGACTGTAAAAATCAGTCCGGGTTGGGGCAGTGGAAGAAACTGCTGGTCATTGGGGATGAGTCCATTTAAAGGGCCCCCACAGTCCTAGAAAGGATGCAAACCCACCCACTCTGGGAACCACCACAAAGCAACAACTAGAGGGGTGCCAGTTGCACATGGGAAGTGGGTGAAGTGAATGGAAACCAGGCAATTGCTGAACAGGTGGCATTGTTCCCTCTCCGACCCCTCCCCCACATACAGTGCCACAAAGAGGTGAAGAGGGTTGCCCTGCCCTGGTGAATACCTAAGGGTCTGCCCGTTACAACGTAACAGGTGCACCAAAATAAGGCGTCGAAGCAGCTCTACCTAGTACATAGAAACAACACAGGGAGGCTGCCAAATTGAAGAGACAAAGAAATATGGCCCAAATGAAAGCACAGACCAAAACTCCAGAAAAAGAACTAAGCAAAACGGAGATAGCAACCTATCAGATGCAGAGTTCAGAACACTGGTGATAAGGATGATCAGAGAACTCACTAAGTATGGCAAATGCCCAAGGAAGGAAATGAAAG